GTAAATAAGGACTAAAAGGTATAATAGATAATGTGAAATAGGAAGAAAAGGGGCAAAGGGGAAGGGGAAGTGGGAGGGTTAGGGGAAAGGAAAGAGTGGAATGGAATTAATATGAGAACATGAAAGAATGGAAACTTAGTCTTTGTAAATAGGGAGGGATGGAGGGGTTGCAAGGAGGGCAGGGGAAGGGGGAAAAATAAGAACCAAGAGAGATTATGTAAAGGTGCAAATTTCCAATGATGTATGTGATTATATTGTATATCTAAAATGTACCAATAAAACAGAAATTTTAAAAAATGATGTTCTGGAAAGAACAAGCTATCTTCTACCAGGAATCTCTGCTCACCTGTCATGCCTCCACTCTAGTAGGTTTGTGATAAGTTTGAAGGGCTCTACAGGTTTGGACCACAGATGCAGAAGTAATCCTCATGGTGAGGGTAATCCTAATTTTGGTGAATCACTACCTACAGTTCCACAGGTGCCTACCTTCTGTGGCACGTGGGCACCTCCTATTTGAACTTGGCCACTCTGGAGGTTTCCTCTAGACTTCTGCCCCCCTGCCCCGCCTCAGGTGAGAAGTAGATAGCCCTGCACTGCCTATGGGCAGTGACCTACTCCTCAGTTGCCATCCCTGGGAACCCCATATGTTGAAGCACTTCTAATTTTCCCTGCTCTGAAGGTCTCTGAGATGAGAGGTGAGAGGCCAATTCCATGGACCAAGGACCCAGCCAGCAGCACTGAGAAGCTGTCATTCCTTTTTACATCCCCAGTCATGGAGCAAGGTACTACTACAGTAGAAGCCAGAAAAAAGGAAGGAAGCAGATAGCTCAGAGAAAGGGAGCACACTGCTTCTCTGGGACACCTCTCTGCCAGCTGTCATCCGGCTACCTTTATTCACCAGCAGGGCTTTGTATCTGTTCAGCAGACAAGTGTGGCTGTACAGGGACATTTTCTCCCCCTGTGCCCCAAGTCTCTGCTTTGAGCTCTCGGGTCAGATTCCTGAGAATCACAACACTGCTCTGTGGTCCTTCCAGCTGGGGCTGCCCCCACTTATAGGAGATGTGTCCCTGGTGATGCCCTGGTTGTTCCATGGAGCCTCCTCTCTGGCAACAAGCCACTCTTGGCAACAGGGCCAGGGGTTCCACTGCCCTTGTGGGTGCATAGGTGCTGATTCCTCTACGGTTGGGCTAAGAACTTGGCCAAAAAGGGACCATCCCTGCAGACTAGAGTCACGCCCTCTGTTCCCAAAGAAAACAACAAAAACAAAAGGAAGCATTGGACAATCAGACCAAGAGATTCAGACCAGAAAATCTTCAGTAAAGTATCCTGAACCCCATACTTGCTGGGGTTGGGGACCCACAAGAGATCCCAGAACCTTTCTTAAATACTGTATATAGTGCTGCAGGAAGATAACGAACCAACTTCCCCCAGCACTGGCTCTAAATAAAAGGGAGCCAACTTCTCAAACTGCACTTCTGTTTCCAACTACAGGATGCCCCTATGCTCCAGCGCCCCTACCTAGCTCAGGGGTAAGAGCTGGGAGGAAATCAAAAGCCAAGAGGAGGAAGAACAGGGTGCTGGGGGGGCGGGGGGGGGCGTGCGGCGGGGAGTGGCACGCTTCTCTTCCCTTGCTGGTTCCTTCCAGCCCTGCTGGAGGTTTGCCCCGCCTTTGCAGGGCAGGATCAATTCCTCCTGGGCTGAAGGAGGGAGGGCCAGTTCACCTTACGGTTCCCACCCTCCTGAGGAGCCGGAAGCGGAGGCAGCCGGCTCCTGAGCTACAGGCCCGCGGGAGTCCCGGGCACAGGGAAGGGCCAGAGTAGCCGCGCCGACCCCATGGCCGCTGGGCCCGTGGAGCAGCGGCTGGGCAGCCTCATCATCTTCACCCGGGGCGACTTCGAGGACGACTGGCTACAAGTAGCTAGCGGTGGCTTCAGCCTGGTGTTCCAGGCGCGGCACAAGCGCTGGAGGACCCAGTACGCCATCAAGTGCTCCATCTCTCCACAGCAGGACGCCACCAGGTATCTGGGGCCTGACCTTTCACAGGGGAAAAACTGAGGCCAGCAAGATTTGACCTAGAGAGCTCTGAGGGCGCAGTGGGCTAGGGTTGAGGCCGAGTGTTTGTAAATTCTACCCCATAGCCTGAGTTTCCTAGGCACAGCTGTCTTCCTCTGAACCTGAAATACTGCAGTCAGACAGTGTGCATGTGGGACCAACAAAAGTCAGAGGCCCCTGTCCGTTCAGTCCTCTCAAACGTGCCCTGCCTTCTTCCTTCCTCTGGGGAGTGATGACTGCTCCTGGCCACCCCCTACTGCCCTCCTTCTCACCCCAAACTCTCCTGGCAGAACTAGGCTTCCTGAGAGGTGTGGCACTTCGCATTACCTGCACGGAGCCACCTTCTCTTCTCAGGCTGGCTGTGCTGAACCCTGCCCAGCTACTGCAGGCTGGGGTGGTGTGGCCAATGGAAACTGCCCAGCAGTGGCCTGGGAGCTAGTCCAGGCCACCTGCCACCCACCAGCTGTCACCTGCCAGCTGTCACATAAGTCTTCCCAGAAGGTTAAGTCTAGAATGCTATGTTCTGTGTCCTTTTTATTTTTTGGTTTTTGGCTCTCATCATTGCACTATAGCCACATTACGATAAATAAAAATTTTGTGTATAGTGCTTATGGCTACTTGGCATTTCTTGATTAAAAGAAAGTTGACTAGTCTGATCTTTAAAGAATAGATTTGGTCTAAAAATATTCATTTGTGGGCCATGTGGATATGAAGGAATTGGGGTAGGGTTGCTGTTTTATATAGACATGTTTGTGAAATATTACTAATTAGGCACCATTTAAGTAGATCTTTGAAGGGTAGGGTGTTCTAATTAGAGGAGGCAGCCAGTACAAAGATCCTGGGGTTGGAACAGTCTGGGCAAGAGGCCCATGTGGCAGCAGCAGAGTGAGAGAGACGGATAAAGTCAGAGGGCTGTGCCTGAGGGTCTGAACACATCATGGATGAATGGCTTTATCAGCCATTATAAGAACTTTGGCTTTTACTATAAATAAAAGACTCTATTGGAGGGTCCTAAGCAAGGCAGTAACACGCTACCATATATCTTTCAAAATGTCACCTGGCTGCAGGGTTGAGACTAGATTGTAAGAGGGAAGAGGAAGAGTAGAGAGACTGGTAAGACTTGAGCCAAGATGCCAATAGAGAAATGCAAATTAAAACAACACTGAGATTCATCTTATTCCAGTAACAATGACTATCATTGAGGTCTCAAAAAACAACAAATGCTGGTGAAGTTGTGGGGAAAAGAACCCTTCTACACTGTTGGGGAAATGGAGACTAGTACAACCACTGTGGAAACAAGCATGGTGATCCCTCAAAAAACTAAAAATAGAATTTTATGTAATCCAATTATACTTCTTCCTGGTATCTTTCCAGAAGAGTGGAAGACATCATATCGAGTGATGCATGCATACTCATGTTTATAGCAGCACAACTTGAAATAGCTAAATTATGGAATCTGCCTATATGCAGATCACCAGACAAATGGATAAAGAAAATGTGGTGTGTAGATATACAGTGGAGTCCTACTCAGCCATAAAGAAGAAAAGATTTGAGCCATTTGTAGGAAAATGGATGGATCTCGAGATCATAATGCCAAATGAAATGAATTAAACACAGAAGGTTAAATATTGCTTGGTTTCTCTAATATGAGAAGCCCAAAATATAAATAATTTAAAGAGCAAAATAAAAGAGAAAATAAAGAAGTAGACTCTGTGGAGATAGAAAGGGAGGAAAAAAGAAAGGTGGAAGGAAGGGGAGTAAAAATGATCCAGATGCAATATGTATGTTTTAATTCCCCAAGATGAATGTAATTTTTATATACTACAAACATATACCAAAAAAAATGAAAAAATTTGGGCCAAGATTCAGACAAGTAGAGGTGCTGAAAGTTAGTCATTTTACTGTATTTTAAAGGTAGAGGTGATAGGACTTGTCCAGGGCCTGATTGTGGGAGCAAGGGGAAGAGTCAAAAATGCACCCAAATTCTTGTCTGAAACTGGGGGAAATGAAGAAGACTGAGAGAAGAGCAGGTGTAAGAGAGAATCAAAAATTTAGCTTTAGACCCATTAAGTTTTGAATATCCAACTGGAGGTGTCAAGAATGACCAGGGAAAGTATAGAGTAGAAAGAAAGCGAGGAGAGCACCGAAACCTAGCCCGGTGACCAACTTTTCTGAGCCTGCAGAGGAAGTGACCAGAACAAGAGGGAGAAATCCAGGAGAATGTTGGGAATGGCTGAGGAAGGAGAGTTTCAAAAAAGAGTGAAGATTGTAGGAACAGGTGTTGGGTGAATTACGGACATCAGAGACCAAACAGAAGAGGGCAGGTGAGCTGTGAGGACAGAGGGACAAGCCTCTTAAGGAGTCTGATTGAAAAAGGGAATCATGCAAGGCAGTTACTATTAATCCCACTCTACAGTTTAGAAGCTGGGAGAAATCACTTGCCCCAGCTCATGCAAAGAGTAAGTGATGGAACTGGGATTTGAAGTCAAGATGATGACTCTAGAGCCTGTATGTACTTTTTCCACATCATGACAGATGTTATTCTAGTTTCTGTGAGCCCAAGGGGAAGAGAGAAGACAGTAAAAATATCAGAGTTGGAGAAGAGATTTCTGGAATAGTAGAGAAGTAAAGAAGAACAAGAGAAATCAAGGTAGCCAAATTGTCGAGGTCCCAGGAGAGAAGGTGGCTTGTTGCGGAGGGCAGGCTCTCCAGCTGGCTTCTCCAGGGTGCTCAGTGAGCCCATCTCCAGCAGCTCTGCAGTGCCGTCACAGTCTTGTAGATATAGTTCTTTTAAAAGTACCATTTCTCCTTAATCCCTAGCCCCACAATCCCCAAACAGTCTATAACAATTTGCATATTTACTGTTTAGTGGCCACACACAGTGAAGTGAGTGAGAGGGTTTGCAAATGCTTATTTTGTAAGGCTTTCCACTAAATCTTGACTCCTGTTCACTTCAACAAAGATGCATTGTGTGGTGCAAGGCAATGTGCTGTGGGGAGTACAAAGAAAGATAATTATAGTTCATCCATAAAACGAAATGCTATGCAGTCATGCAAGACCATGCTTCAGGAGAACGACAATGTGGGGAAGTGCTCAGGCTCCACTTGCTTGTGATCAAAAGAGAGAGGGGAAGAGACAGGAGTGAAAGGGAGGGAGAAGGGGGAAGAGATGCCTTGAAAATGTATCATAAAAGAATGTACTACAATATTAACATGCCAGTTCTACAAGTTTAGATTACTGGTGCTTTAATTTTCTTTTTTATAGCTCTCTGAATTCCCTAGGTTTTCTACAGGGTAATACTTCCATAATCAAAATGGCAATAGATATTTTAAAACAGAAGCATGAGGCGTAATATCAGCCCTGTAGGGGTTTGAAATCTGCTGGGGGAGATAAACATACAAACAAGCAGCCAGAATAAATGGCAGGCTGTGATGCATGCTTTTTATAACTAGCTCTGTAGAATGGACTGGCTGTTAAACCTTTATGTCCTGTCTCGTTGCTACTGGCCATCTGAGGTCTAATCTGCACTGCCTGCTAGGCATCACTTCTTGTTTCTCCTCCACTGCTTGGCAAGCTCCTGATGCTTCTCAGGGTTCCCTCAGTTTGGCATCCTTACTTTGTGCATTTTGCTGGTTTGCTCTACCAATTAATGGGTCACCCTCTTCTATCTGTTGCTCCCCACTCTTCCTAGCTCCGATGTGAATTGCCTCATTGAAGAAGCAACTAAAATGGAAAAGATCAAGTTTCAGCACATTGTGCCCATCTATGGGGTGTGCAAGCAGCCCCTGGGCATTGTGATGGAGTTCATGGCCAATGGCTCCCTGGAGAAGATGTTACCCACCCACAGCCTCAGCTGGCAACTCAAGTTCCGCATCATCCATGAGACCAGCTTGGCCATGAACTTCCTCCACAGCATTAAGCCCCCTCTGCTCCACCTGGACCTCAAGCCAGGCAACATCCTGCTGGACAACAATATTCATGTCAAGGTGAGGACCCTGCTCAATCCCTTGTCCCCTTTAAAGCTAGGCTGGACTCGACTCTGAGTGAGCAGGATTATCTGCCTGACAGCTGGCCTGTCAAGAGTTTTAAGCAGTTCTCTTCTTGGACAAATACTGAAGGAAAAGGCCTTACCTGAAGCAGGGAAAGATGGATATATAGCAAAATTTGGTGCATGAATCTGGGTATTGGGATGCCAGAAATAATGCTTTTTGAGCCTCAGTTTCTTGTTTCTAAAATGGGTAGACTATTTCTTATCCCTCTCATTCTTTGGTTGCTGCAGGAATGTATATAAATGAGATAATCCCTAAGAAAGGTCATGATGACCATTTTTTTCTAGTTCCTAAAACATGTCATACTCTTTTCTCCCCTTGGATATTTACACATTCTATTCCCCTACTCCTCTCTATCTAGCAAAGACCTAATCATCTTTTAACTCAGAGCTTAAACCTCACTCTTTAGGGAAGTTTTCTCCTGTCTACCCCCAACAGGGCACTGTTCTATACCCTCACTGTATCTTTGTGTCTTTATATTGGTTGCAAGTATATGATCATTTGTGAAACTTTCATTTCACCCTTATCTGAACACACCCTAATGAGGGTATAGAGCTCCCCAGCTTTATGTCCTTCAATAGATGGCCAGTTGGTGAGTGAGCAAAGTGAGGATAAACATACATGGTGTAAGTACAGGCAGATGAACAGAAGCTCATGGAAGATGGCAGCAGTATCCATAATCCCTCAAACTAATCACAACACCTGGCAAGTATCTATCACGTGCTGTGTTCTAAATTCTGTTTGTATGCTACCTCATTTAATGCCCATAGTATCACTGTGAGTAAAGTACTCATATTATTTCCATTTTACAGATGAGGAAACCGAGGTTCTGAGAAGGTAATAACTTGTCCAAGATCATGCAGGTAGTTAGTGGTTCAGCAGGGAGAGAGTGTTGTAGGAAAGCACTGTGATAAACTGGAAGGGTGAGAAATAAAAGCTAGCTTCTGGAGGCAAGACTATTGCAACTCACTCCTCGCACCTTGTTTTCTACCAGATTTCAGACTTTGGCCTGTCCAAGTGGATGGAAGAGTCAACTCGGATGCAGTACATTGAGAGGTCAGCGCTGCGGGGTACTCTCAGCTACATCCCTCCTGAGATGTTCCTGCAGAGTAACAAGGCCCCAGGGCCCAAGTACGACGTGTACAGGTGAGAGGGTAACTGGGCTCTATGTCACCTACCCAGGAGGCAGATTGTTGCCACCCTGATGCCCAGTCCCTGTGGCCAGTGGGCAGAGCAGGACAGGGATAAGGTCCAGCCCCTCCTTGCTCAGGGAGGAAAGTGGTGGTAAACTCTGACTGGAGAGGCTTCTCCTGAGGCCTTGGGGTCCATGGGACCACACTGGCTGGGGGAATCATGGGTATCTGACAGTCTCTTAGGGAATGTTCTCCCCTTCTGCAGCTTCGGGATTGTGATCTGGGAGCTTCTCACTCAGAAGAAACCATACACAGGTAGCAAATGGCAGGAGCCCTGAGTCTAGGGCAGGGGAAACCCTCTCAGATGGGGTCCTGGAAGGGCTATGGGAGGCTGAGGTTGGTGAGGTCAGAGGAAGCAACAGGTTTGTGCTGGGAACCGAAGGCTCCTCCAAGAATTTGTTCCTCACTCTGCTTCCTTGCACCTCTTGTTTCTAGAGGTCATATAAGAATAAAGGGGACAACAAAAGTCAGCCTAGATCATGCTTTGTGGCTGTAAAACCCTTGCCACAAAGTGTTCTTGCTTGCCCTCTCCCCATCCTGCCATCTAGAGACAAGTAAAGAGATCCAGGACTGTTTGTCTCCCTTGCTAGCTTTGAACAGCAAAAGGCTGCAGTGTGGGGTCATGCTCACTCTTGAACTGGGATGTGGCTGGAGCCGGCCCAGAGACTCACCTGCTCAAATCAGGGGCTCAAGTGGGTTCAAGATCCAGCTATTTGTGCCCCAAGTATTTATAGAGCCCCTACTGTGTGCATACCCTTTAGGATCCTCTCTGCCCCTACCTTCCTACCCAGCCCCTCTGCCCTACCTCCTAGCACTGGCTCAGCCTGGGCCTCCTCTCATAGGACTCAACATGATGACCATCATCATCCGAGTAGCAGCGGGCATGCGGCCCTCCCTGCACCCTGTCTCTGATGAGTGGCCAGGCGAGGCCCAGCAGATGGTGGACCTGATGAGGCGTTGCTGGGATCAGGACCCCAAGAAGAGACCATGCTTTCTAGGTGTTCATCCAGCCTTCCCTACCCAGGGCCCAGGGAGTGGATGGGGCCAGGAGGGGAGGTGATTTGACACCAAGACCACTCCTGAGAGCTATGCAGATACAACTGCAGCACTAGGGCCTGGAGAGAGTTTTGCAGCAAAATCTGCATCACAAGGCTGGGAGGATGGCATTGGAATCTCGGGCAGCTGAGGTCAGGATTTTGAGCTGTGTGGGTTTTTGGGTGTGTACCTGTGAGAGGTTGAGCAGAAACCCTCAGTGCTAGAAGACAGGAGGTGCAGCATCTGAGCCTAGCCCTGTTGTTGAGCTGTGCAGCCAGTCCCAGGTCCTGTCAGGGCTGCAGCGTCTTCACTCATAAAAGTACTCCTGGGCCATGGGGTCCCAGGCCATAGGACCCCATGCCTAGAAGGGACACTGAGGGTATCTTATTCTTTAGGCACATATATGTGTGAGCATCAACATATATGTGTGAGCATCTTAGATATCATCTGGTCCTGCCCCTTTGTCAAATGGAAAAGGACTGTGATCCTCAGAGTATCAGAGACTTGCTAAATGTGTCCCTACCAAGGCAAAACTGGGACCCACTGTTCTTCTGCCTCCCTGAATGCTATGTATTTATATATGAGCCCAGAAATAGGTTTTGGGGAGACATAGGAAATGTTAGCATATCTAAAATTGGGAGGGTACCACTGGCCAACTTGTTGCCTCCTTTCTCTCTGTCTCTTGTGGAGCAGACATCACAGTTGAGACAGACATGCTGCTGTCCTTGCTCCAGTGCCCTGTGGCAGACCCTGAAATTGAGGCCCTGGCCAGGAAGGTGTCCTGTAAACCATCTCTACGCCACCGGGCCCAGCAGGTGGGTGGAGCAGGCCAGGAGGGCTTCAGATCAATACTGTCTGAGGTCCTGCAGGGGGAGGCCTTGGCTCTCCTAAGCTGTCACACTATAGGTGTCAACATCTGCCCTCCTGTCTCTGCTGTGACATGGGAACTAGCTGGAGGCTAGAGGGGGCTCCTGGCTGAAACCACAGATCCACCCTGCTGCCATGTGGCCCCAAGGGAAGGCCAAGCCTTGGGCCACCTTGGTCTGGCCAGGTCTGCTCCGCTCATGCTTTCCTCTAGGCACAGCTGGATGAGCAATGGCATAGGTGGAGAGTTTCCAGGTTGGGGAGGGATGTGAGTCCTGAGGGGTGTCAGGGAGTTCTCCCTTGATGATCTGCCCTGTTTCTACTGATTCTGCCTTCCCAGGTCAGTGAGGAAGCCGGTCAGGAGCTAACGGACAGTGGTAAGCCCAGGGTGCTGTGATGGGACCAGAGAACCCACAGGAAGGATCCAGCCACAGCCTGTTCCATGCTCCCTCCTCCTCCCTGGGGGCCTGTCATACATCCAAGGTGGTGGGGCCCTTTCCTAGTACCCAGATGAATGGTCCAGAAACACACATGTACTGAGGGTCTTGGTTCTGTTTTCCCTTCAGGTCCATGTCCTAGCAAGACCTGACTCCTCCATTCTGACCCAAGAGGTGGAGTATTGGTTCTCGATGCAGGCTGCACATTAGAATTACTTGGGAAATTAAAAAAAAAACAAAACAAACAAAAGTGGATGCCTGGGACCCAGCCTAGACAAATCAAGTCAGAATCTGTGGGGGTCAGGCCCAGGCAGTGATCATTCTTATAATTTTTAATTCTGATACCCTGGGTAGAGTAGTGGGAAGCAAGGCCTAAAGACCTCAGGGGGAGTTTAGATTATAGAGGTCCAACCACAACTGTACTTCCAATTTGCATGGACTTACCCTCTCTGGTCCTCCCCTGAAAGATTTTACGTACCTACTTTGTCTTCGCACTGGTGTGATAAGCTGAGAATTGTTGGTCTCCCCTTTACTCAGCCCAAAGTGGAACCTTAAAGAGGCAGAGAACTGGCTGAGATCAGGGATGCTATTGGTGGAGTAAAGATCTGAACCTGGGCCCAGTTGTTTCTACCACATCTGCAGGATCAGTGACCCAAGACAATGATGCCAGAACTCCTACAGTGACAGTAATGAATGTGTGGAGACCCCGGATACCAGGAAAGGCTTTGCTCTCATTCTTCTATTCTCTGCCTCTGGATGAGGCAGGGGGATGTCCACGAGGACCTCTGGACAGGTCAGGTCTCTTTTTCTAACCCATCTTCTTTCCAGCAGATTCGGGAGATTATTTGAAGCAGGTTTTGCAACCCTCTGACAGCGAGAGCTTTGTCCCCAGTGATGAAGAACTGCGTGTCTACGAGAACAAGGTCATGCCCCTCCACTTCCTGGTGGCCCAGGGCAGTGTGGAGCAAGTGAGGCTTCTACTGGCCCATGAGGTTGATGTGGACTGCCAGACAGCCTCTGGCTACACGCCTCTCCTCATTGCTGCCCAGGACCAACAGCCTGACCTCTGTGCTCTACTCCTGACACATGGTGCTGATGCCAACCTGGTGGATGAGGATGACTGGGCCCCGCTGCACTTTGCGGCCCAGAATGGGGATGACCGCACTGCCCGCCTGCTCCTGGACCATGGGGCCCTCGTGGATGCTCAGGAGCATGAGGGCTGGACCCCACTTCACCTGGCCACACAGAACAACTTTGAGAATGTGGCACGGCTTCTGGTCTCCCGTCACGCTGACCCCAACCTGCGTGAAGCTGAGGGGAAGACTCCTCTCCACGTGGCTGCCTATTTCGGCCATGTCAGCTTGGTCAAGCTGCTGACCAGCCAGGGAGCTGAGCTGGATGCTCAGCAAAGAAACCTGAGGACACCACTGCACCTGGCAGTGGAGCGGGGCAAAGTTCGGGCCATCCAGTACCTGCTGAAGAGTGGGGCAGCCCCTGATGCCCTTGACCAGAGTGGCTATAGCCCACTGCACATTGCCGCTGCCTGCAGCAAGTACCTCATCTGCAAGATGCTGCTCAGATATGGAGCCAGCCTGGAGCTGCCAACTCAGCAGGGCTGGACGCCTCTGCATCTAGCAACCTACAAGGGCCACCTAGAGATCATCCACCTGCTGGCTGAAAGCCATGCAGATATGGGTGCTCTTGGAAGTATGAACTGGACCCCCCTACATCTGGCTGCTCACCACGGGGAAGAGACAGTGTTGTTGGCACTGCTGCAGTGTGGGGCTCACCCCAATGCTGCTGAGCAGTCGGGCTGGACACCCCTCCACCTGGCAGTCCAGAGGGGTGCCTTCTTGAGTGTTATCAACCTCCTGGAGCATGGAGCAGATGTGCATGCCTGTAACAAGGTGGGCTGGACACCTGCCCATCTGGCTGCCCTCAAGGGGAACACAGCCATCCTCAAAGTTCTGATCAGGGCTGGTGCCCAGCTGGACATCCAGGATGAAGTGGGCTGCACACCGCTGCAACTGGCCCTCAGGAGCCAAAAGCAGAGCATCGTGGCCTTCCTGGAGGGCAAGGAGCCCTCACTGGCCATTCTGGGCAGTGTTGAGCCAGGAGCCCAGATGCAAGTTTAGACTCTACCTTGCTTGGAAAAGGTTGGGGTGGTGGAAATGAAACTTGGCTTTTGGGAGGACCCCTTCCCTCCTGCTCTTTTGACCTTGAGAGGAAATAGGAACCTGGTGTCCTGGGTTATAGAGGCAAGGGGAGATGTACCACTGAGGTCATAGCTTGGAAATAGCCCCTTGGCTTGGACAACTGCTTCCAGCTCCTCCTTCAAGTCATCTCCAAAGACCCCTGGCCTCGTTTTCATTCTTTACATGGATTCAAACGTCCAGTTCAGCGCTCTCCAGCTCCGAGATTCCTGTCACATTGTGTCCCCTGCCTCTGAGTTCATGGGGTCCTTGCATCCAAGAAAGCCCCTCTGAAGACAAAGTCAGGTCTACAGATAAGGGAAGTGGGTTCTTGCCAGCTTATATCTTGTGTTGCTGGCCCTCCTCTCAGACTGGGGCAGGGCAGCCAAACTCACCCACTTTGCCCAGGGGCCAGGGGCTCAGAATTCAGAGTAGCTGCCTGCTGGCTACTTAAGGCCTCAGGCAGCCCATCACCACAGTGACTGCATCTTCCCAGTGGGCCTCCCTTGTTTCCTGCATGGTCTCTTGGCTGTGAAGAATGGTTGTCCCTACTATAGATGAGTGATCCGATGTGGGGCACCAGTTTCCTGGTCCCTGGCCCCACACCCTTACACTTCTTTGTGCCCAGAAGTATGGGCCATTTCAAATCTTGGAGTCAATAAAGCTGTACATCTGAATCTCTGCAATAGAGATGGATTGACTGTGGGACTGGGTACATGTAGGGACCAGTAGTATGGAGGGTGGGGGAGAGAACTAGCATATTGCATGTGTGTGTATAATATAGTATGTGAGCTCACCTGGGAGAGAGGTGGAGGGTGCCCGAGGAGAGTTGGAGTGTGTGTGTATATAACACATGTGTGAGTTTACACGAGGGGAAGAGGCAGGGGCAGATGAGGGGTTGTGGTGGTGAGGAGTGGGTTGTCTGGTCTTGGTGTGGAGCTGGCCAGGCAGTGACTTTCCTGCTTAGCAGCCACTCACAAAGCTGGCTCTCCCTTGGCCACAGCCTAGCCACTTGCCAGCTGGTTGGGGGCAGTTGGGGCAGGGCACACTGACTTTGTGTAGTGAGGGCCCTGGCTCAGCAGCCCTTGGGAGGGCATGGGATAGGACAGGTGCCCTGGGGGTCCAGTGCTGCTCCTCGGTGCCTCCCACCCAGCACAGCAGAAATGGCCTCTCCAGCCCAAGGATGTTCTGTAACTCTCAGAAAAAGGACTTTGTGCCCCAGCTTCCAGCCAGCCTTGAGCCCTAAGCCAAGAGACAGGCCTGGCTTTGTGTGTCACTTTTCTGGGCTGGGTACTGCAGTGTGGGAATGAGTCCACAGTCAGCATTCTGGTATTAGCAGAGGTGGGAGAGACAAGGCAGCAGCATGTACAATCCCGCCCAGTGCATGAGACCCTTTAAGCAGTGCTCCATCCTCTGGCTCCAGCTTGTTGGGCTTTGGACACTTCACCTCACCTTGCTGGAGCCTATAGCTGCCACAGAAAGGCCAGACCTGGAAGCTGCCTTGGGCTGGGTTGTGTCCTCTAGCCACAGCTGTAAAGCTTGCACATGAGACTTTGCTGGTGAGGGACTTTTTTTTTTGCACTGAGAATTGAACCCAAGGCTTTTGCAATGAGCTATATCCCTAGCCCTTCAGGGTCTTGCTAGGTCCCTAAATTGCCCAAGCCAAACTAGAATTTGCAGTTCTGCCTCAATGTCCCAGAATGCTGGGATTACAGGTATGTGCAACCACTCCATTTTGTGAGGGGCTTTAAAAATATACCCAAATCTGGCCCTACCTGCAACCAGTTAAAGCAGAAAATCCTGGTTAGAATCTTGGTATGAACAACCATGCACAATTCCCAGGTGATTCTGAAAAATAGCCAGGGCTGAGCACCACCACCAGGGGGCATTCCGTGATTTCTCAGTGTGGCCTTCCAAAGCAGAACATTAAAGAGTTGCTGGCCCACCCTGCTGCAGGACAGCGGAGCCTTGGTAGATGAGTAGGGACACCTGGGGTCTAGGGGCCACTCAGCAAACTTCAATTCTCCTTCTCCCTGCTAGTTCCCTCCCCCAGTCTCTTGGTTCTTCATGAGACTAAGCCTTAAGCAAAACTTGTAGTTAAGAATGTCTCTAGGATGCCTGACTTTCCCAGAACAAGCAGAGCAGAAAGAGGGCAGGGAAGGGGAACATGAGGTTGTTTGCATCTTCCTGCACCCTGGAGTCACTCTCACTCCTAATCTAGGATTCCAGGGGAGCCAGAAGAGATGGTTGGGTCTACATATTCACAGCCAGTTCAGCACAGAAGACTCAGTGGAAATGGTGAGGACAGAGCCACAGAGAAGGGTAGCATCTGGCTTATCTTGTTGGAAAGAGTTTGAGGAAGGACCTTTGAAGGAAGTCTTTAGAAGAGGTAGATGATTTTTTGGCACCCGTTGTCCCATGGCGATATGGACGGGACTGTCCCTAGGAATTCTTTCATCTCAGATGATTCTGAGTCTAGGCTGGGATCCTCAGACCCCTGCTTCTTTTATATTTTCTCCAATTCATAGCTGAAATGATAGTTTTAAGCCAGCCCCGGCAAGCAGGTGCTCTCGTTACCTGTGAGCACCTTCTGCTCTCTCAAGTCACCCTAGCCAGACATGGACATAGCATCTGCCTTGAGTCCCATCTCAACACCGCTGGCTTCCAGAGGTTTCCCAAGGATGTTCACAACTGGATTTTAATAAGGCTCTTGAAATTCTTGAGGAGAGAGTCTCTAGTGGACTTTCCAGCCCTGTTTGGGGAGCTTAGGTATGGGGTACTAGAAATTGAGTGTTCTAATTTCTTGTTGGACCGCTCCACTTGGAGGTGCTATGGAATCCCTAAGCTCAAACTATCCTAACCTGAACACTCCTTTCCCCCTCTGCAAGCCTGCTCCTTGCTTTCATGTTAATTGAAGGTACCCAAACTTGGGAGCCTTTCTGGACCAGCGCTGTCCAAGACTTTAGAGGAGAATGCCTCCTAGCTGCCTATATCTGCACTGTCTAATACTTTAGTATACTGAGCACTTGACTGTGGTGAGTGTGCCTGGGGAATCAATTTTTTTTTTGGGTGGGGGGACCTGTAATCAAACTCAGGACCTTGTGCTTGCAAGTCAGGCAGCAGCACCACTGAGCTAAATCCCCAGCCCAGGAATCAAATTTTTAGTATGAATAAATTTAAGTAGCCACACGTGGACAGTGGGCAGGGATTTGTACCCTTCTCCTCCCTCTCCCCTCCTCTGGCCAGTTTCCAAGCCAAGTGAACTTGATCAGAAAGCTTCTCCTGGAAGATGCGAATGTTGAAAAATGTGACAAGGGTGGAGGAGAGGAAGGGCAAAGGCTGGGCTGGTTGGAAGCAGGGAAAGGCCAACCAGCTGGAGAATGTAGGAGAGAAACAGCTGTTTGCAGGGAAGGGCATTTCTGTTTAGAGTAGGTGGGGAGGGTGGGCTCATAGTGGGGAGATCTTGGTGTCCACCCTCACTCAGGAGCTTGGACTCAGTGTGAGGGATGGAGGGGAGCTGCTATCACCTTGCCAGCAGAGAGTGGACTCAGCTGGGATGCACCATGCATTCCACAGACCCCTTCAGCTGAGTGTAGGCTAAGGAAGTAGGGCTCTGTGGTGGGAGTCCAGGATCCTGGCCGGTGACAGAGGATGAAGAACTGGCCAGACAGACCTAGAATGGGGTTTTGATTCTGCCCTTTACTAGCTCTTGACTTTCCCTAGACTTTCAGAGCTTCAGCCTCCATATTTGTACCAGATTTATCATTGAGAGGATGCAATTAGATCATCATAGCCCCAGCACTCATTGAGAATCATTGTTACTTTGCTGCTCTTCTATTTTTCTGTTCCTGCCCTGCCTCATTGACATTATACTGTTAATTCCTTATTCCTTACCCTCTTCCCAGATAACAGCCTCCTCTTCCATCCTAAACCCCACTTGAACCAATCCAGTCCCCTCCAAGCATCTCCTGGACCCTGGGAGATGACATCAGCTAGCTTGTCTGTCCCCAGAAACAACAGGAGCCCAGGCTGTGCGGTGTAGGTAGTTTCTTGTGCTGGGAGAAGGAATCCATGGGGAGAACCCTCCCAGTTGTGACATCAGGAAACCAGAAAAAACAGGGCACCTTAGCTACAAGAGCTCAAGTGCAGGGCAGAAGTCCAAAGGGACATCTGTGATCCTCTTGGAAGGAAGGCAGGCTTGTAGCAATCAGCAGAAAACTTTGAGGGCTGGAAAGGCATGGGATACAACATAAAAGCACCAAGCAAATGAGAAATCGTTACCTCCTTCAAGTTCCAGGGGGAGAATGACTCGGGGTAAGGGTAAAGAGGGAGAAAGCAGATTTCCAGGCTCATAGCAGGAAGGAAGGAAGGCAGTGGAATTCAAGGGAGGACTCAGGAAAAGAAAAAGGTACCAGGGCTTCCTGAATACACAGATGGCAGCTCTGGTCATCTTCTGTTCGGGAACATTCCTTCTCTGCCCACCCTCGGCACCCCCCATAAAACGCTCCTTCCCAGCTTGTTAGGGCCCTTGAGTGAATTAGGGCACTAGTCTCTCCCAGACCTGCCTTGACTTCCCCTGTGACCAGTTCTGCCATCCTGCTCACCAGCCCAAGGCCCACCTGGCCTTCTCTATCACGCTGGTCTCCCACCAGTGCCTGTTGGAGACCTACCTATCCCATAAAATCCCACTTACCTGTCCCTGTTCGTGAGCTCTGCTCTGCAGCACTGCTGGAGATGCACCCCTTCCCCCAAGCAAGGACACTATACCAGCACCCTCTGCAGTGAGGTTGAGAAAGGGTTCTCTGGTCTGTCTTCTTGCTCAGTGCATGCCACGTTACCATGCCCTGCTTGTTTTTGTATCCTCCCTAGCTAGTCCTTTCTCAGGGACAGGGCACAGGTCCGAAAGGTAATCTGCTCATGCTTGCTGAATTGGACTATAGGCACCCAGGGCTTTGGCTGTAATGTCATCTAAGGGGCAGAGAGTAGATCTGGGCTAGGTTGAGGCAGAGGAAGGCCAGGTTGGTGGCCTTGGCAGGGAGACCTCTGTATGAATCCTGACTGAGTGATCCACTAGTTGCCTGACCTCAGGTTGCTGAAATTTTGGTAGCCTTGGTCACTTCATCTGGCAGAGATAATGCATATCTCCCTGGGCTATTGTAATAGTGAAACCCAGTGCCATACTGGGCAAAGGGCAAGACAGTAAACACCCAACTCGTTAATTTCCGGAAGCTTTTGCTACATCAGAGGAATGTTTCTCTGGTGTAAGGCTGAAACAATCTGACCTTTGGGAGCTTGTAGGGGAGGATGCTCTAGGAAACAGCTGCCTAGTTTCTTTTGCCAGTGAATTCTAAGAAGGAAGGGGAGACTTTTCTTCAATGTCTTGCTGTGAGCTGTGACCCTGGGACCCACAAAATAGTATGGGGTCAGCTATAGGGCAAAGGCAAGCCCCACCAGCCAGCCCCTGCTAAGACACCGTGGTAAGAATGGTCCACAGATTTTGCTATCAGGAGTCCCCAGAGCCAGGCAGTGGGCATGATATGAGCAAAGCAAAGGTGCCATGCTTGCATCCACCAGGATAGAGCAGGATGAAGCTGGTGAGCTGCTTTCTTGGACCCTACTCTGCTTTCAAACCGGCAAAGGACAGAAGAAGGCAGGTGAATGAACACAGCAACCTCAGAGAGAGGATAAAGAAAGGGAGGAGGTAAGACCTGAGGATTACCAGGACAAAAGGGCTGGAATCATGTCATCTATCCTGGCTCTGGGCTCCAAAGCAGCACTTGCTAACACTAGACAATGGAACTTGTCTTTTCCAGGGCAACTACCTTCCTCTCTTGTCCACCCTAACCTTTCTTCTGCCCTGGAGATAGCTCAGAGTCTGGCTTCCAAATGGCTCTCTTCAAATACACTGTGCATTCCTGGGAACAATAGGACAGTGTTTGGGGATAACCTGGTCAGGGAAATTCAGAGGATATGGATGTCCTAGCTAGCCCCAAACAATTTTTTTCTCTCTCTGATTTTAAAGAATGAAACTTCTGATCACACTAGTCTCTTCCAGCTGCACTAAAGGTAGGTCAGGAAACTGGACTGGAGTAGATGGCATAAGTTACAGAGTCAAGGGAGGCAGGGACCATGGTCACCTCTGCCACCTGAGCAAACCACCATCCTCAGGTGAGAGGCTTCTCTTCCATGGGGGTAGAGCCTAGGAATGCCCCATGGGGTATATGGAGGCCAAACTCAATTAGAGGGAAAAGCCTTCAGAATCATTGTTACTTTGCTGCTCTTTTATTTTTCTGTTCCTGCCCGGCCTCATTGACATTATATTGTTAATTCCTGAGGTGCCCTGTTTTTTCTGGTTTCCTGAGGTCACAACTGGGAGGGTTCTCCCCATGGATTCCTTCTCCCAGCACAAGAAACTACCTACACAGCACAGCCTGGGCTCCTGTTGTTTCTGGGGACAGACAAGCTAGCTGATGTCATCTCCCAGGGTCCAGGAGATGCTTGGAGGGGACTGGATTGGTTCAAGTGGGGTTTAGGATGGAAGAGAAGGCTGTTATCTGGGAAGAGGGTAAGGAATAAGGAATTAACAGTATAATGTCAACGAGGCGGGGCAGGAACAGAAAAATAGAAGAGCAGCAAAGTAACAATGATTCTGCATGGATGTGAGCCAAAGTCACAGGGGTCCTGGGCCCAGATATCAGTAAGCCAGGTGGCAGGAAAAGACAGCCATGCCGCCTCTGGGGATGAGGACAGTCCCCAGCTAGGTGGGGGCACTGGGAATGCCCCCAGGCAGGCCAGCTCTCAGTGTTCCTGGTTGTAGGTCCCTGGCTGCTCCTATTCTGAAGCTACCTAGGAAGCAGGATCTGCAGTTGTTTCTTCTAGGGGCCCCTTGACCAGCCACCTAGGAAATTTTCCCGCTGCAATCTTCTTGCCTCTGCCAATTCTCCATTTGCTTCAAAGTCCAGGCACTCCAGAGCTGCTCCCTCTCACACCATCAGGAAAACGCATCCTGTAGCTGTGTAGCACATGCCTGTGCTTTGTTACCCTTCCCAAGGTTCTGATGGCAGTCTCCACACCTAGTCAGAGCTCTCCTTGGGCGAAGTGGTATGCTTACTTTATTCTGTGACTATTAGGTTAATGTCTGTCATCCCATCAGACTATGAACCCAGGAAGGCAGGATCATGCCCACCTTCTTCACTGTTTCATTCCCAGCACTTCACTGAAGACCTAGAGTATAATAATTGCTCAATAAATATTCACTGAGTAAAACAGTGAGTGGGTGGACAAAGAAATGAAACGATGAACCACTCACCCTCTCAGCTCCCAGGACCTCTCCCCAGCCTGTGGTCACCCGGGAATTCTTCAAACTCACCTGGGGGAGAATAAGGTCCTGAAGCCTTGTGAATGGGCAGTCTCAGCTGGATCTGCTCCTTTGTAACTCTGTGACTCGGTTTCCCACCTGAGATGACTATGCAAGGTGCCCAGCCATGCCTGGCCCCTTAGTGGTGACTCAGTGCTGCACTCTAGGTAAGGAAGGGCAAGGGGATGCTACAGACTACACCAGCTGTAAAGGCAAATGTGCACTTCTCAGATTATAAGGCATTCTACAGAGATATAGGCACAGAACACAGCAGGAGCAGAGAGGAGGAAAAATTTGGAGGTGCCTCCACTGCCAAAAGAAAGGGGTCAAAGGCACAGTCTCCACGGACAGAGCCAGAGCCTGGGTTGCTCTTTCACCCATGGGAACCCAGGAAGGGAAAACCCCTTCCACTTCTGTGCTCCCAGGTCCCATTCCTCCCATTCCTTTGCCCCTAAAGTGCTGAAGGGGAAGGGGGTGGAACCCAGCCCTCCCCCTGCCCACTCCAGCTGTCAATCTGCTGTCTGGAAGAAATACTTGAAGCCTCATGACAACTGTGGGCACCTTTCTCCTGCCCCGCCTCCCGCCCCTGCCCTGCCCTCTTCCCCTCTTCCCCTCTTCCCCTCTTCTTCCCCTCTTCCCCTCTTCCCCTCTTCTCTCTGACAGGGCTCTTCTCAGATTGCTCCAGGGCTCTCTTCCCTTCCTGTGCTGAGTCCTTCCTTCCTCTCTTTCTCTGCCTTTCTTTGTCATCTCTTCCAATTCTCACCACTATAGATTGTATGGCCTCGTGGGTTTCGAATAATAAGGTGAATGTGTAAGCTCTATCCAGGTCAAGATCATCCATGGACTGAGAACACAGTGGATGAGCTGCTTGTGAGCCAGTATCAGCCGATGAGAGTGCCTAAGGTGTCTGAACCCCTACTGGGGCCTGATGCCTCCTCAGGAGGAGGTCACTGAGATATTGGCTGCCCTGGGCTATATAAAGGGCCTGTTTATCCCCCACTTCTGAAATCAGAGTGCTCCTGGGGACAAGAACTCTCCCAGGCTTAGCACTACATTCAGGTTCAAAGAGAAGATCAAAGTCCATAATTAAATGTTCAGGGCAAATTAAGTGCTCCAAACTTTGCTGCTAAAAATATTGTATTTAGCATGCAAATTATGCCCTGACAGCTCCCCAGAGCCTGAACCTGTGGGTGCCACCACCTTGTTTGTCATCACCACTGTTATTCTCAAGGTGGTAAGAACATTCTTCTTCCACTGGTGGATTTATATTTCTTTTTTTTTTTTAAGCCACGTTTCTGTTTTCAGGGCAGGGCTGAGTTGTAACCCCAGGAAGGTTGGAGCTTGGACAGGTCTGGAGCAAGAGGAAGCAGAGATGTTTAGGCCACAGCACTCGGGGCTTGGCCTGCTTTCTGCAACCTGTCCCAAAGCTGGAGATCCTGACATGAGACAGAGACAGGATGAAGGACAGAGAGACACACAGGCAAGGCCGGCACCTCCAACGCCACTTTTTCCAAGGAGCCTTCTCTGGCCTGGTGGAGGAAAAGCCCAAAGGAAGAGCCAACCTTCAGAGGAACCAGACCCAGAGAGGTGGGAATACCTGGCTTCCCTCTAGTCTAGAAGGACCTTGTCAGAAATAAGAGTTTTGGCTCTCTCTGTATGTTAAGGATGGTGTTGGCACTGCTCCGGGCTACCCAGGGGCCCTTGAGAGTTACTTGTCAAAGTTTTATTAGTTTGGTGCACGTATAGTGATGTTACAGAGTCTGGGGCCTGGGGGCGCCTCCAAGCTCCAGTTTCCCCTCCCCTCTCAAAGCAGGGCCAGGGCAGACCAAAGGGCCCTCAGCAGCCTCTTAGCCATGGACTCCTCTAAGGCAGAGACGCTGGAAGGGAAAGGAAAGAGAAGAGAGAAGACTCCAGAAGGAAGAGAAAGGGAAAGACACTTTATGTCAGAGTGTGGCAAGAGGCAAACTCTCAAAGAACCTCAAATGTCCCCCGACTCAGGCCCAGATGTGGGTTCAATACTTAACTTCCCAGACTGGCCAGCTTTGGCTAGAAGAAGGGAGGCCTGGCTTTTCTCTCTCCACAGACCCTTTTGGGGCCCTTGGAGATTAGGGTTCCTCCCTCCAATGCTGTGGAAGCTGTAAGGAGAGCTGTAACAGAGTGGGATGAGTCAGGACCAAAGCTGGGGGAAACAGGGATCACTGGGGTGGGAAAGAGAGCTAAGATTTTTGGCTTGCGCTCCTCTGGGGTCCATGTGTTATCTGATATTTACATGGGTCTCCCAGGGCTGAAGTTTTTTCCCCACATGAGCTTTGGATAGTGAGAACTGTCCCTCCTTCTGACTGCCTGCTCCAGCACAGGCCCATGAAAACCAGGGGAAACCCAATAGAATTTGCTTGCCCTTATATCCTCGACTCTGACTCCAGTAACTCCAGAGACCCCAGTGCCCCAAAGAAAGGTCAAGGAGGGCAACTGAATCTTCGGTGCCAAGGAGAGAGGGCCTGGAGGTGGGAGGGAGACTCTGTGAGCTGCCCTGAGCCATAGGTCCAGTCCCAGGGCTGGTACCAATGCGGGGCTCTTTAGCCTGCCATGGCAGAGTGAGGGTGTGTGGGCAGAGGGAAGCAGAGCCAAGTTAACGCTGCAGGGCCGGCGGGATGACTAGAAGACCCAGTCCTTCAGGGCCTTTCTGCCCATGGCTCACAGGGATGAGGCCCGGAGAGCCTGGGCCTGGAGGTGAGAAGTGGCTGCTGTGCAGGCAGACGGCAGAGTCAGCAGTGTAGAATCTTCATGAAGGCCTTGCGGAACTCGATGTTGAAGGTTGTGTAGATGATGGGGTTCACGGCGCTGTTGACATAGCCCAGCCACGTGAAGGCGCTGTACAGGACTGGCGGGATGTTGCAGTCACAGTGTATGTTGAGGATGTGCGTAATGAAGAAGGGAAGCCAGCAGATGATGAATACGCCTGGGGGAGAAGCAGGGTCAGGGTGGCCTTCAGGCCATGGAGAGGCTGAGCTGAGCACACCCTGTCCTGCTGGACGGGCCCCTGGCTTGTATGCTGGAGGCCCCAGTGCTGTGGGTTGCAGCCCCAGGAGCACTGCAAGGGGAGTTCAGTTCTTGGATCCTAGACCTGCACTCAGCCCCCGGGGACTGCAGTAGCAAAACACCCAGGTCCAACATGGGCCTGCCACATCCCAGTCATGTGATCAAGGGTAGCCCCTTAGCCTGCTGGGACTGCATGCCCTCATCCAAAAAAAGAGGACAGGGGCACTTGCCTTCTCACATCCCAGGACTTCTGGGCTCCTAAAGGACATCTCAGGTGTTACATAGAAAGCAGAGTCACATTGGTCCTCCTTTCCTCAGCCATCCTCTTAGTTTGTGACCTTTATTATATGGTTTTTCTAGAAGACCTTCATTTAAAAGTCCTGCCTAGTAGACAGGCCCACTCCCTCCTTTAGATCAGAGTCCCCTTCCCCCATTTTCACAGCTCTTGTCCTATAAAGATGTGGTTGAGTGCAAGAGTTTATTTCCCAGTTCCATGGTAACAGTAATAGATAAAAGCATAATGATAACACTTATGTATTTGTGCTGCTTTGCAGATTTAAAAAATACTTTCACCAAACCTATGCCATCTGACCATGGCAACAGTTCTGAGAGGTCATCTAGTCTACAGACAGGGGGATCAGAGGTTAAAAAGTGACCTGCCTGAGGACATGAGGCTTGGGGGCATTATGGTAGGCTGGTCAAGCCCACAGACTCTGGAGTCAGACTGCTTGAGTTCAAATCATGAGTCCTTCTTAGTCAAGTTATATAGCCATGCTAAACCTCAGAATGCCCATCTGTAAAAGGAGCACAATTGTAGAATCTCCTTAAGAGCCTGTCTGCTTGTCGATGAGGATGGCTTGGTTCTGAGAATGTGTCAAACCCATGATACACCAGCCCGGGTCAGCAAGAGCTGGCAGGGACTGGGGCCTGCAGAGACGGACCCTTTCCCTGGCCAGAGCTGACTCACCGAGAACAATGGCGAGCATCTGAGTGGCTTTCTTCTCCTTCTGCTGGGAGAGCTTCCTGCGGCTCATGGTCTTGAGGGAGGTCCGAGTTTTGCCATTGGGCATAGACTGGATCTCAAAGATCTTGGCAATCTTGGGGTGGTCTTTGGCATGCCCATTCTTTTCTGGCTTAGCAGGGCTGTCAGGAGTGCTATGGAGGCCATGGTGGGATGGATCAGGGAGAGTCAGCTGGTGGTGGCTGGGTGGGATAGGGCTGTACCTGGTCCTCTCGGGTGGGCTGGTGCTAGAGACAATCTCCATCTCTAGCTCCTGGGCTCGGCGGGCAGCCTCCTGCACCATAAGCAGAGAACTCTGGGTGAAGCCAGGCATGGTCGTAGGCAGCAGTCACCCAGGCTCCTGTGCTCCTCTAATCCCCTCCCTTCTCCCACTGGAAACTCCTACAAACACGGTCACTGTACCAGGAGGGGAAGGAGGGCTCTCACTGAGAGGCAGGGGGCATCTGGATCCATAGTCTACTTCCCAGAGCAATCCTTTTGCAGTCTCAGTACCCCAAACCATTTTCCAATGGCTTCTCTTTTGTTAAAAGAGCAACACTTACTGAGTGCTGCCTAAGTGTCAGGTGCCAAGCTGGCTGCTAGGGATAAATCCCTGAATGATGCTCAGTCTTGCCTCCAAGAACTGGCGTCCTAACTGTTTAGAGAACATCCACCCTTGTCCTTCCCACTAGGCTGAATCACAGGCCCAGTGCTCTTGTTTCATGGGTACCTGTACCAGCTTGCAAACTAGACTGACCCAGGTGCAGAACAGCCGACCCCTGGGGCCCCACATCTCCCCTGCTGGGCTGAGCAGGAGGGCCTGGCATAGATCCACTCACAGTCTCCCCGTTCTTCCTTGGGCTGTCTTGTTTGGTGCCTCAGAGGTCAAAAATGCAGCCAGTCTATGTGCCTAGCTGGTAAAACCGAGTTGCTCCCTTGACCCCATCCTGGGTCTCTGCTTTGGTACCTGTGTCATAAACAGCTCTGAAAATGATGTCCTTGGAGTACAGGTGAGAGGTGGGGACCCTGCTTCCCAAGAACATCTGACCTGGACTTAGCATGAGGTCCTCTGTGGGCTCCCTGGCCTATACTGTGGCCACCTGTGTGGGGCAGGGGGTGAAATACCTCCTGGTTGGACCCCAGTGCTAGGGCTGTGTTCTGATTTGCACCCGTGGGTTCCATTTCCAGGTTGTGTTTCATGAGCAGCCCCAGGGCTGCTCTACTGCAGCCGTCCTCAGCCTCCAGCCTCTAGTCCCAGAGCCAGCCTGTTTGCATGGCAGCACTTGCCAGTGGAAAAGCATGGGTGTGGATTTAGAAGTTACAGAGATCTGGGTTCAGATATGTGCTCTGTCACTGTTTAGACATGGGGAAGTTACCTAAACTCTCTGAGCCTCTGATTCCTTTTGTGAGTTGAAGACTGATAAAATCAATTGGACTTAACCTCCCAGGGTCGTGGTGAGGATTTGGTGAGATAACAGGAACTCAGTAGGTATGTGAGAAGTGGAAATAGCCATTCTCACCATTTTTATTATGTTGTTACAGCCCAGTCCCTTTTCCCACAATTTTCTATGTACCTGGGACATGCAGAATTGAGGTGTCCTGCTCCATACCTGCTTGGAAGTGTGCATGGTGTGCCTGGCCTCTGCTGAGGCAGTGGGGGATGGTGAGAGGTGCTTCTCTCTCTGGCCAGCTGGTGAGGGTTCAGAGTCATGGCTGGTAGGCTCCCCAAGGACAGAAACTTGGCTGTGGGTTCCTGACCTGAACACTTACCATTCTCCGCCTATTCACTGGGAAACTCCCATTAGACTTCATGATAACGGTGCAGAGTTTCATGTCCTCAGGGTGAGTACAGTTGCCCTGTGGAGTGAGCCAGCACATGGGTCACACAAGACAGTGAGGGGACTGGGCACAAGGAGACAAGAACCCAAGGCTTTATGGAGATCTCAGACTCGGAACAGGGCTCAGAGATTAGGCGTGTGGGACCACAGAAGGCAGTCAGGGTAAAGGTTAAGACTGGTGTTGCAATAAGAGGAAATAGGCAGGACAAGGGACAAAAGGACCCTGGTTTTTAGAGAGCACCTACTCAGGATCCAGCACCCTGTTAGGCACACTCACAACCCTTCTCATAATGAATCTTCAAGACTACCCTATGAAGTCCATATTTACATTTTCATTTAACAGATGAGGACACTGAGGCTCACAGAAGTTCAGCAATTTGCCCATGGTCACTCAGTCAACATGGGTGGTGCCAGGATTTGAACCTGATCTGTGTAACCTGAAAGCTTTTGTTCCTCCCATGCCCACTCAGTCTTTTCAGATAAGGCTGAGTGGAAGGGAGAATTCACAGGACGGAAGAACAAGGAGCTGAGAGAGGAACAGAAAAGAAAAATGGGAAAGAAGAAGTGATAAGGATGCAGGAAGTGAGCAGGACAGAGAGTGTGGCAAGTAAAGAAAACAGGACAGAGGAGACAGAGAGAAGGAAAGGGAGACAGAGGTTAGAAAGGAGAAGCTAAGCAGAGGCAAAGGGGAGACCAGGAAGAGGCCAAGCTGGAACAGCTGCCAGAGTCACAAAGACTTTTGAGCAGACTTCTCTGTCCAATGAGTGCCACCAGGGATGTCACCTCCCACTCCTGGGCATTCAAGTTCCTCCACAGAGACCCACACCCTCATCTGTCTGCTGGGTACTACAGCCTAGACCACAGCCTTGCTGTGGTGCCCAGGTCCCCACCTGGGCAAGGGACAAACCGCCTTGGGACTGGTTAGGTAGGGACACTTGGAGGGGAGGAAGGGTCTCTGGACCTTGAGTGGGGCCCTCAGGTTGGCCCGGAAGGCTCGGCTGCTACGTTTGGTGTTGACCCGCTTGCGCCGTTTGCGGAGGACGATGTAGATCTTGATGTACACCAGCAGGGTGACGATGAAGGGCACATAGAAGGAGACGATGGAGGAGTAGACCACGAAGGCAGGGTTGGCAATGATGCACTCATTCTGGTCTAGGGGAAGAGAGCCCAGGATGGGCAGGGCATCAGCTGGCCCCCTGGGCCACAATGCCACCAGAGCATCTATCTCCTTGTGGGAAAGAGGAGCAGTCTTACAGATAATATGACTAGAGGTTTAAGGTTACCTGGGAATGTTAGTTGTAAATTAATGTGCAGTGTAAATTAGAGTATTAGAACCACAACCATCGCCAGGTGTGGTGGCACACGCCTGTAATCCCAGCACTTGGGAGGCTGAGGCAGGAAGATAGCTGCAAGTTTGAGGCCAGCCTCAGCTACATAGTGAGTTCAAGGCCGTCCTGAACTACATTGTGATACCCTGTCTCAAAAAAAAAAAAATTTAAAAATTCAAAAAAACACTACCATAAGCAAAAATGGACTAAACCAGAACTGACTGCTTCCAAATATTCTCATTACTAAGTTACTAGATCATTAGTTTTGATATCTCTGAGAACACAAGTAAACCTAGAATATTCACAAGTTGACACAAGAATTATTTCCAAAAGAGCAACCCATTATTCCAGCCTTTCCTGTATACCGGGGAGAGAAGTCCTGCCATTTATTAACTTTAGGAACAAGATAACTTGGTCCCATTTGCTGGACCCACCTGTGTTCCAATGTGTTCCACGTGTTCCCGTGGTTCCTTCCAGGTCTACCGGAGTTTTTTTCTTTATCTCGGGGCTTTCCTGGATTAATTCAACCATATTTAGCCCTGTTCCTACTTCTTAGAATTCCTGTGACATTTTGATTTCATACCACACATTTTCTAGGCTTCACCGTATTCTGTCTTGCTCTGGTCTCCAGGGGTGTACCTGCCTGACTCCTGTCTCCCTGATGAGAGGCAGCTACACACTAGCAGATACTTCGTCCCTCTTCTGTTTGAGGTGCTCTGATGCTGCCTTGCATAGGGAGAGGTACAAGGTGGACTCACCCCCTACTTTTCTCTAGTTTTCCTGTTCTGGATGGCTCAGACCTGGCCTGGGCTCAGCCAACCCACCAGGCAGAAGCCTTATCACAAAAATGCCTTGCCAGTGGTGAATGGAAGTCCAGTAGTCTCCCCTACATGGAAGTACACACACACATACACACACGCGTGCACACACGTACACACACACACATGCACACTTTGTGCGGCCTGCTTCAATTTAATAAAGTTGAAAATGACCAGACATCCTCCTGAGCCACTTTCACCATTCCTCATCTCACTCCATCATGCCCTAGGCCATTGTTTCTTCTCTAGCCGAACCTGGAACAACTCTGAGTTGGGCTGGACCCAGAAGATCCAGGCCAGCCTCAGTCCATCAGGACTCTCAGCACAAAAGCAGGGGTCTGAAGCCACTTGATCCCTAGGCAAAGGCAAGACTCACCTGTATTGTTGAGTCCAAAGAGCAGTGGACAGGAGATGGTGAAGGACAGGACCCAGACGATGGCGATCATGACGGTGACTCTGCGCTTGGAGCTGTAGCGCGTGTTGTACAGCATGGGCATGGCTACAGCTGTGTACCTGTAAGAGGGGGCTGAGTCTGGGGTGCAGGCCCAGGAACCTCTCATTCCACCTAATGTGCACACCAGAGATGCCCCTGATCCACGGACTGGGCTGTTGATCACCTCCATGAAGCTTGCCAACAGCCTGGCAATGACCCATCAAACACTGTTTGGCCAGTTGCAGTGTACCTCTGAGGCATCTCCATTACTCTAATTCCCCACTTGGATTTGGAGCTTTTTGAGAGGTCAAGGCCTGGGTCTTTGAACCTTTTAAACTACACTTCACTTATGCTGGGCCTGTGGGAGGTGGAAGTGTTTGTCGATAGATTGGTATCCAGCCCCTCAGAGCAAGGTGTCAGCCCTATTTAGCAGGAAAGATGTACAATGGCAACCATTTACAATCTTCCCTCACATTCCTCTGCTTAGAGCATCTGAGGTATTAACTTATCTCCCAGGAGTGCTGTGGGGGACTAGGGCCAGTACCACAGGGAGCCTGTGTGGCACATCCGTGCAAATTAGTGAAAGGCTCCACACATACTGCCTAATGGCCAGAGCCTGTGCTGTGATATATGTTGGACATAAAATGCAAAACCAAAACCCTGAAGCTTCACAGGGAAGGTATCATTATCATCCATGTCCAGAAAATGAAACTGGGATTCTAAAAACTTCCACACTGTCAGGTAAGTAGAAAGTGATAGAGCCAGGGCTATATCACGATCAAGTACTTTCTCTTTCAAAGCAGTCACATGTTGGTATTTTTGGGAGCCTCCCAGCCCATAGATGGCCTCCCTTTCAGGAGTTTGTAATATCCTAACCAAACACATACACACACACACACACACACACACGAACTCACACACACATGGCCAGTCATATAGCAACACAGACACAGCCTGACCCTGAGCAGAGGTGGGACAGACAGAAAGGTGGATAGCCAGGGTCACCTCTCCCACCCTGGGTGGACTCACCTGTCGATGCTGATGGCACACAGGTTCAGGATGCTTGCTGTGCACATCATGACATCCAGAGTAACAAAGATGTCACAATGGATCCTGCTGAATTTCCACTCGCCAACCACCTAGGGACAAAGCAGCATAATGGGTGGACATCAGGAGGAGGAAATTAGCTTAGGCCCTGTGGCTCAGGCCTCCAGCAGCAGGTCAGGCTGTGTCCTCAGATGATAGCTATGGAATCTTGTGGGTCTCGACTGGAGAAGAAGCAACAATGGAAGCAGTGCCCATGGGGATCTGAGTCCCATGCTCCTAGCTTCTCTTCTTCCACATGTGTAAGTCCTCTTTGTGCCAAGAACTTGGCTAGAAGAAAGGCAACTCACTTAATATGAGTGCCTCATCTTTGAATTCTTAATCTGTAAAACAATTATGTGATCACTATGTGATCCCCAAGTATTTTCTTAGATTCTTTATCTGTCTATTTGGTGTTCATTCGCCATAGCAAAAACTATATTAACTATATTTTTATGTTCTATGTTCCTGCTGCTATGGTATTTGGGGGACCACCACACTTGGGGAGAGACTCCTCTCCCAGAGCTAGCTGATTCATAAACACAGTAAACTAATTACTTGGTAGCACACTACCTCTCAAATGTAAGCCAGCCTTTCCCTACATACTCTCACATATCAAGCCAATATTTCCTGTACCTTAAATTGTCCTGGGGCCCGATATCAGGTAACTAGGTAACTAGGGACCAATCCTTTAGCCCTGGAGTTATTCATACTACACAATCCTGAGCTGCTCATTCTGTCTTGCTTTGGATTTCCTATGGAAACCCCAACAAAATCTATGCCCTAAGCTTTCCCCTGGCCCTTCCTTTGCCCCCTGACCCAAGCCTGGTGCTTCCCCTGGCTGTGCCTCCCATTCCTAGGGGAACTGTGAATAGCATTAAATTTTTTTTCCAATGGCATTGACCTCCATGTCATCACTCAGTTATAACTCTTCAAATTAAACCACATGTATCATTTTAGAATATTTATTTTTCCAGTGAGAAAACTAAGCCTCAGAAAAGTACAGTGATTTGCTTACAATCTTTTGGATCAGCTTCTGGTCTTTCACTCTTACAAGTTCTGAATGAGCCAGGCAAGACTTTCCATGCCTAGCCTGGAGTGTATGGCACAGTCAGGGCCCAAAAATTGTCTGTTAAGACAGTGGCTGACTATGCAACAAGGAAGAAATGTCTGCTCTTTGTTATCTTCAGAGAATAAAAGAAATCTGGGCTGGAGCAATAAGACCACCAGGACAAGCTGGAAAAGAGGTGATGTAGTGATCTGTCCTTGGTCTGATGGGAAATAAGGAGTTCAACAACTCCTGGCAAGAAGATTTTACATCACACACACAGACACACACACACACACACACACACCCCAATACACTTCTACACATCCCCAGCCCTTCATTCACACTAACACAGACAATCAGACAGTCACATAGCTGGCTGGCCCTGGCATCTCTGTCAGTGTGGAGCAGCCCAACCTCTGAAGACACCTTTGGCTTCTACCCATAGTGGAGAAGAAATAACAAAGCCCTCTCCAATGACCAGAGCAGGGCAGCACCAACTATGTGTTCCAGCTCAGCACAGCAGCAGGAATAATGGCCGCGTTACTCATTCTCACCACTACCTTTGCTTCTGCACTCAGGCAAAGAAACAAACCTTGGCATTTAAGCTCAAGAAGGAGTGATGCAGCTGCTATCATCTTACAAGGAGGAAATAGCAGCTCTCCCCCAGAAGACAGAGGTCTTTTCTGTGGCAATATTTCCTGCAGGCCTTGTCTCAGGGCTTCGCCTGGTAGCCCTGCACTTTGAGAGCTGACAGTAGGATATCCAGTTGGGATGGCAGTGGAGGGTTTGGAGGGGTCTTCCCTGTTATAAACAGAGTACCTTCAAGGCACACTGGGCAGGGCCCCAAGCCCATCTGGTTCCTACCCACCTCATCTTAAAGCCTCTCCTAGGACTGGTATCTAGGAGCTGCTTTCATGTCCCTGGTGATCCAGGTCTGAGAGGTCAGGGCCTTTGTCTCTGTCTCCTTTCTCTCCTTCCCTCCTCCCTGCTATCCTTCTTTTCTACAAACACTTATTGAGCAGCCGAGTCTTTGCTGCAGGCTTCTGGACACACACGAACCACTCACACCTAGTCCCTGCTTTCAGCACACTCTCCAACCCCTCTCCCCACCAGCCTGCCTGGAGCCTAGAAGGGAGGGCTTTCTTCTGTGGTCTCAGGAGCAACTGCCTTGCAGGGTAATTAGGGTTGGCCATTCAAAAACCCAAGAAAAAGTATTGGCAGCCACTTTATAGAATATCTACTCTGGGAACTACTTTATCTCATTTGTTTTTAAAACTCTTATAAGAAGAGATTGCTTATCCCTATTTATAGATGAGGGAAGTGAAGCTCAGAGAGGCCACAAAACATGGCCAAGTTTACCCAGGAAGCATTCAGTGGGGCTAGAAAGTGAGCTAAGTTCATCAGGCATCACATTCAATGCTTTTTTAAGTGTGGAAGAGACCATCTTAGAAGGGACCATCTAACTTGTGAAAAGAGATCATCTGTGAAAAGCACATGGTGAACATAAAACATGGCCAGGTGAGATTACCATTCCAAGAGTGGACAAACAGGGTCACAGAAGGAAACAGAGTTGCTCAAGGTCACTTAGAGATTTGGTGGCCAAGGAAGGATTAGCCCATTTTCTAGTTGCACAAAGGATCTTTCCTCCTCACTTTTGGGCATCGTTCATTGACATCTTGCTCCTATAGGGTTGAGACTGGCATGGGAAGCTCCGAGGTGGAACCAGCAAATGGTAACAAAACTAGAATAATGGCCTGTACTTAGTGTTTCTCAGGCACTGTTGTAAACACACTGTACTCAGATTTGTGAAATGAGGATGGCAAGACTCAGTGTTAAGGACTCTGGCACCTTCTCTCAGAGAGGATGGTTCTACCTTACTGCTTCTCCAGGATAGTTCTTCCCAAAGTGTTACCTCTTTCTGCAAGCCTTTCCAATACTTCCAGCTGGGGAATATGCTCCCACTATTTCCATTGTCTCCTGGGGACTGTTTCATGTCACCTCCAGGGACTGCACTGTACTGGGGCGTTGAATGTTGAATGAGTGAAGAAATAACTTTGCTCATCTTTTCTGAAAACATTTGTTGAATGTATTAATGATTATTGCCACTTCACAGATTGTCTCAGTTTTTCCAGCTCTTGATCATTCTGTTCAGAGACCACTTCTAGTCCCATCCATTCAGTCTGCACAGATGTTTTGGATGAGGGTGAGGGAGGCAGTAGTATGGAGAGACATTAACGACTCCATGGCTGCTTCCTTTTAGCTTTTCTTTTCATGGTGCTGGGGATTGAACCTAGGGCCTCTTACATGCTAGGCAAGTGCTCTACCACTGACCTACAACCCCAGCTCTTTGATCATCTTTCTAATCTTTTCTAGTAAATGTACACCAAGCCTCACCTTAAAAGGATAGAAGGGATCTCAATGGACTCCACATGCAGGCAAGTGACCCCTTCCTGCCATTTGTCAGGAACTTCTCCCACTGCTACCCCATTGAAAAGAAATGGAGTCGGGATGTGAAATCAGTCCTCTCACTCCAAAATCAGCATGCTTTTAATATGGGGCCAGAGTAGTCCCAAAACAGACAGAAGGTGGCATAGATGGCTGTAGGGATATTTAGCATTGCTAGAAATGGAATAGGATGGAAAATTCTAGACAACTACGGCATCTCTTGGAAAAGGTGCAGTATGTGTCTAACAGAATGTTGGACAACACTCCATTAGGGACAATAAATTGAGAAGATTATGTCCTTTAGTTGCAGCTTGCCACCAAAGTCTTGTTTTAAGGGGATTATATGGAAGAGTTTGGGTGCTGCCTGAGAAAGTGTCTGCAAGCTGCCCGCTGACATGCTCAGCTTCACCTCTAAAATAATGGTGGGGAAATTTCAAAGGTGTTTAAAACATTTCCTTGAAGGATTTAGATTGCTAGGGGCCCCAATATAGTTTGTGTACAGATTTGTCTCTGCCCGAGTGTCTGCATAGGGATGGGTAGACTGGAAGCTAGCAGAAGTCATGCCCAGAGCCCCAGGGAGAACACCTCTCACTCTGGGAAGTGAGAAGTTCCTTCTGGGTGGGAAGAGGGGGAGTTTCTTCTGGGTGGAGAGGTGTTGGATATTTATCGTCATCTTTGTCTTCATCACCCTTGCATACTTACTATGTGCACAGTACCATTCTAAGCACTTTTCCCAGAGTGACTCATTTGATCCTCAAACAACTCTGTGAGGCAGGTACTAGTATTATTCCCATATTATAGATCAGGAGACTGAGGCATACAGAGGTTGTTTGTTCTCCCACTTTCCTCACGATTTTTCCCTGATGGTCTGGGGTCTAGGACCCTCTTTTGGAAGGAAGTAGGCATGGATCAAACCTGAGAACAAAGAAGTCTTCAGACAGGATATGGGATGGGCAGAGTCCAGGGCCCTCACATTTAAGCCATAAAGAATTAGAAACCTGGCCTATGTCACTTGTATACTTTTATGTTGCTTTCCTTCTTCTTAAAAATTATTTATTATATTTTCTTTTGATTATTTTTTACTATTCAGAGTATTTTGAACATTTCAGACTGTTTTGACTGTTCTAACAAAACCAAGGGAATGATGGACCAGAACTCCCTGTGTACCAGTGTGGTGGGTACAACAGGAGAACAAGAGCCTCTTGGGGCCTAGGGACAGGCAGGTGTGCCACTTTGGACCAGCCTCCCCTCCGCATCTGAGCTGCTGCTTTTAGCCATCTTCTGTGCTCAACTCTACACAGATTTTATACTTTCTTTCCGTAACAGAAGTTTTCGCTCCCAGACAGGGACTTGTGTTTGTGACATAGTTGAGTTCCCCTCTTGCCCAGGGCAGCAGAATGACAGCTCAGAGAACTAAGTGGTGGCATCTTCCCCAATGCCTGATCAGCTTTCCAGGCACACAGACTCCAGGTCAGCTTCAGTCCTGGACAGGTAACCCCAGGATTCTGGGCTGAGAAAAGGACAGCTTGTGCTTACTGATGCCTCCTAGGCCCTCCCACATCTGCCTACCCGATTTGAAAAGTGTCTGCTCAGAGGGGGTCCCCTTAGGGCTTCTTCCTTTACTATAGGACCTGAGTGAAGACAGCAACTTCTCAAAGTCTCTGCTTCCTGTAAAATGAAGAGAGTAGCATCGACTCCCAAGGTTACCTGATCAGTGTATGCAACACACTTGGGACAGTGTCTGGGCTCCACTGTGGGGCTGCCTGCTCCCCATTTCAAGGCACAGAGCTGTGCTCTGTCCCAAGTGGCACAATGGGTAACTACACAATTCTTCCTAAGGGAAGGGGCTGTCACACAGTTAGTGGTAGCTCTTCCTGGAGGTTCTAGTCATGGGTGCCACAATCAACTGGGAATGGAGAGGATTAAGAAAGCTAGAGAAGCAGCCCTACTTCTGACAACTGGAGGGAGGGAGGGATGAAGGATTGAGGCCCAGGAACATTAACACGTCCCTTCCTTGGATATCCTTACCAGTTGCTCCATTTCCAGCATGACCTACTGAACTAATTCTAGCCAGGTGGTTCTACTTTGTACCTGCCAGCTGTGTGATGTTAGAGAAACCACCTAACTTTTCTGACCACCTGGTTCTCCATCTGCAAAATGGTGATAACGCCAGCCTCTCAGAGCTGTTTGGAGGATTATTTAGGAAAGTGCTGTGTATTTAATATGAGGCTCGACATTCAGTAAGCTCTCTACAAATGGTAGTTGCACTTATTGAGGAGATAGTCTAATCACCTGATAAGGCAAAACATTGAGCCCAAAGGAAAAGGAGGAAGTGGCAGGCAACCTGTGATGGAAGTAATTTGGAACGTGGGGTCCAGGCTGTAGCACAGGGCCTCCTGGAGAAGGCACTGGAGTAAGGTGGGGCCCACACCTACCTCCAGGTAGACAACCCAGGGCATGACCAGCGTGGCAACGAGCAGGTCAGCCACTGCGAGGCTGACAATCAGGTAGTTGGTGGTAGTCTGCAGCGCCTTCTCTCGGGACACAGCCATGCATACCAGCACGTTGCCGAAGACAATGACGAAGATGAGAAGGGTGAGCAGCATAGCATAGTAGTTGTAGTGGGGCCTGTCTGCCTTTCCTTCTGACCCATTGAAGGATCGGCTCCAGTTCTGCCTTTCCAGATCGTCATCGTACCAGGTCAGATTCAGTGGATCCATTAGGGCAGCGGAGCCACTGAGTGGCAAGGCTCTGGCCAGGAGAAACAGACACAGGGAGTGAGCTGGAGGCTTCCAGGGCACACTGCCCCCCACAGAGGGATCTGGGGTGAAAATCAGCTATTGCCACTTGCAGGTAATAGAATAGAGAGAATTCTCCAAACTCAGGATGTTAACTTTTATAACTAATACTTTAAAAATAATATTGGGGCCTGCCCCCACTCTTCTTGTAGTGAGTTATTACAGATGTTAGAAGAAATGAACAAGTTTATAGTTTTAAATGCATACTAAAATAAATGACCTTGAAACGAGCTGATCATACATTCTTTCATTTATTCAACAACACACTTAAAAACACAATCCATGCGCCACACACATTAAGATGTTAGTTAGGATTTCCAGCTTCTAGCAGGAGGAACAGAAATAGGCAACTATTTATTCTTGATTCTATAAATAGTTAATAAGCATTGTTCTATATAGTGCCAGAAAATGTGGGCAGGAGCAAAATATATGTAGTTCTAGAGTTCACATTTTGGAAGAAACAATAGTCAAGTAATCAAGCATTTCTTAGGGTCATTTCTTAATGGTCTGGGAAAAGAGATTTGCAATGTAGCTTGGTTATTCAAGGAAGGCTTTCTGGAGGAGGTGGTGTTCAAAAGATATTCAACACCGGAAGGTGATGCAGTAATTAGCCAGGTAAAGAGTTGGGATCTAAGGGAAAGGTCTAGACAAGGGAAGCAGAATATACAAAACATACTGTTTGTTAGCAGGTACCCTGGGGGAGGGCCTGAAAGACATCCAGGACAGCAGAATCCTAGAGGGCCCTGGCATGAGTAGAATCTGGGCAGGCTGCATAGGTGAAATCATGGAGGGCCTTAAAAGTCATGCCAGGCATTGGCATCGACCCTAAGGGCAGCAGGAATCACATGACCAGACCTGCCTAAAGGAGAGATGATTCAGACTGCAGTATAGAGCATGGATGGGAGAGGCCCAGAGAGTAAGCAGGACACCAGGAATCCAAGCAAGAAATGAGGTTTGGCAGGATACATCCAATGACAGTCCTGGAGAATAGGAATCTCATCCCAGAGTGAAAGACTTCCAGAAAGAGGTGTCATCTAAGATGATGTAGGAGGAGGAGCTGAAACAACTGAGTGGGGGCAGATGCTCCAGGAGGGCGAAAAGCACAAGTACCAACAATAAATAATTCTCATCGGCTAGAAATGTAGGGCACCACAGTGAGGTTGGAGAAAATTAAGCGAGAGGGACATTGTTTGGCCAGATTGGGGTCTTGTCAACTTGTTAGCCCATGAAAATTTGGGGCCGAGAAGTGACTCCATTGGGTTGCTGTTCTGAAAAGGTCATTAGCTATTATAATGTGGAGGAGAGCTCAGTGTGAAGAGGGCCTGTAGCCGAAACTCAGGAATGTGATTCCAGTTACTGAATGAAGGTAATGGGAGTGAGGATGGAGAGATGTGTGCAGAATCAGGGGGTGCAGCTCAGGGGCATATCTTTTGCCTAGCATATGAAAGGACCTGGGTTAGATCTCCAGTACTGGCATGGGGGAGTCAGTTTCATGGAACTTGGTTATTGGATAGATGTGTGCAAGAGAGAGATCAGAGGTAAGCAGGGCGAAGAGTCAAGAATAACTACAAGATTTTTGTGTTGAGCTCTGGGAGGCAGTGATGTGCTCACAGAGAAAACAGAGCAGAGGGCCTCAGGAGCAGACTCAGGAGGCATCATCTTGACAACCTGTGTTTTCGTTGTGATTGAAATATAATGCATATGTAATAAAGTCAATTTTTCTGCTGTCAAAAGTATTCCTATTCCATACAATGGAATTAAATTTATCTGCATTTCAAGACATTTGGCACAAAACACCATGACTTCCAGGTCCTTTGCTACCCAAATGTATTTGAAAGCCACCAGTATATACCATTTGGGATAAATGCATAGGTGGTATCACGTTCAAATCAGGGAGCAGGGCACACTCACTGCAATGGATCAGAGAGTAATGTGAAGAAGGCTCAGCCCATGTCTACACCCCCATCCTTGTCTGACATACTTGCTCTGGAAGCTCTCAGCAGAGGAGTATAGATGGTGTCCTGCCCAGCACCTCTACTCTGGGATCTACAGGGGAAGTAGAAAGACTAATCCCATGTGAGATGACATGCAATGTCACAGTTCAGCAAGTTTTCCAATTCTGAGGCAGTGAAGCATTGTGTCACATTGATACTGAATTTAGCAATGCCAACTGGTCTCTCTTTCCATTTGGAGCACTCAGCAGGAGACCTACATGTTTATAGTGATCAGGCAACTTGGGCTGCTTCTGACATTCATTTTTTCTATCAGCCTCTTGTTGGATCTGCTAACCGTGAAGCACTGTGCTAACTCTGTCAGGGCCTAGAGACATGGGAGGGCCATTCATTCCCACACCCACTCTCTGCCCCTCTCCCACCTTCTTCCCTCTATGAATATGGCCAGTGGCATCTACCATGGCTCTCCTCTACCTGTATCCCTACCACTACTCCTACCCATTTTCACATCTACCACACTCTCGCATTCTGATGCCAAAGAACATCCTATACTTGTGAAGGGTTTGAGAACTTGCCAAATTATTCTAAACATACTATCTCATTTATCCTCAAAACAACAGTCTGAAGCTTTCAATTATTATCTCTCTTTACACATGAGGAAAATACCTGAAGAACTCTACTCAGTCCCTACACATCCTGCAAAGCAAGTCTGCCTCAGAATCCTCCTGCCCTAGAATCCACCCATGTCATCCTACCTGGACCATCACCCACTCTCTGCAAAGCTCCCAAAGAATGGTTCTGTGGTTCTGCGGTCTGTTTTCTCATCCAGGTGTGACTGTCTCAAGAACTGTACATGTGGGGCCGAGGATTTAGCTCAGTGGTTTCACCACCTGCTGCGCAAGCACAAGTACCCAAGTTCAATCCCAGGTACCAAAAAAAAAAAAAAAAAAGAAGTGTACATGTATTACTCATGCCTCATCTGTGTTCTGTCTCATGAATCAAAAAATGAAAAAGCACACTATCCTGTTCTTTTCTGACTTCTGACTCTGGTTTGTAGGCAGTACGTGTTCAAAGACATTTCCTGGATGAATCCAAGGGTTTATATAACTGGGAAGAAAATTCCTCCACACCTGAAATGTACCTATAGACACAGGCCACTAGATTCACAAGTGCAGAGAAGTAACAGCCAGAGAGCATCATGGGTGTTGGTGCTGAATACTGTTATGGGCTAAATTGTGTTCCTTGCTCTCCCACTCATAAACTGCCTATGTTGAAATCCTAATCCCAGTACCTCAGAATGTGACTGTATTTGGAGATAAGGCCTTTGAAGAGGAAATTAAGTTAAAAATGAAGTCAGTAGAGTGGGCCCTAATCTAATTTGACTTGTGTCCTTATAATAAAAAAGAGGAAATTTGGACACACCAAGAAACACAAGGGATCTGCCCATAGAAGACCATATGAGGACACTGTTGAAGGGGGAAGGGTTCCAAGATGGAGCAAAGTCTGTCCCTGGGCCATAGCTGCAGGACAAACTGATTGACCCTCAGGATGAGGTGGCAACTAGCCTGGAGGATCCGGTTCTCCCAGGTCATCTGCTGTAGTCGGTGACTATAATAGTACTCACCATATTTCATAGGATCTCACACAGAATTGAATGTAAGATGCACCACTGTTTTATGTACTGCTAAGAAAGGTATCAAACCTCAGTACAGATCTAAGATCCCATCAGTTATAAAACTCACTCTGATTTCACAGGTGTTGGGATGGGGTACAATAGTATGTCCCCTGGCATTTCTCCACTGGCTTTTTCTCATGACACCTGAAAATCCTGCCCAGCCCAGGTTCCCCCTGCCCCAGCCCATCCTTTCCTCTTTTCTTTCTGCCTCTGTGCTGGACATATTGTGAGGCTCCAAAGGGCATCCTTGGAGACACACGGGGGAGAGGCTAGGCTGTGGTTTTTCACTGCAGTGGTACCTGGAGGACTGCTCAGGCCCTGACCTTGCCCCACTCCTTGCACTTCTACTTCCTAGTCAGAGTGGCTCTGTGCTCTTCCAGGTATTCTGGTCCGGTCTTTACTCCAAAGAAGACACATGAGGTTAGTGTCTACACTGGGACTTCTGTGAGGGGAAAATGCCAGGCCACACAGAACCCTTACCCTGGAGTTTCCAGGAAAGTCCAACTATTTTGGTTTCTTTTTCTTTTTTTTCTATCTTTTATTTTGCTCTTTATTTATATTTTGGGTTTCTCACATAAGAGACACTGTGTGATATTTAACCTCGTGTCTCTGATTTATTTCACTTAATATTATGGTCTCAAAGTGCATCCATTTTCCTACACATGACTCAAGTTTATCCTTTTTGTTTGTTTGTTTGTTTGTTTGTTTGTTTGTTTTGGGGGGTTTTCTTGGTACTGGGGATCAAACTCGGGACCTTGCACTTTCGAGGCAGGCGCTGGAACCACTGAGCTAAATCCCCGGCCCAGTTTATCCTTTTTATGGCAAAGTAGTACTCCATTGTGTGTGAATATCACATTGTCTTTATCCATTCATCTGTTGATGGACATAGAGGCCACTTCCAAGACTTAGCTATTATGAATTGTGCTGCTATAAACATGGGTGTGCATGGATCCCTGTGATATGACGTCTAACTCTTTTGGGAAGATGCCTAGAAGGAAAGTGGAATTTCTAGATTTAGTTTTCGAGGAATCTCCGTACTGATTTCCATAGTGGTTGGTACTAGCTTAGATTCCCATCAACAATGCAGAAGGGTTCCTTTTTCCCTGCAGCCTCCCCAGCATTTGTTATTATCGGATTTCTTGATGATGGCCAATGGTTGTGGGGAAGATGGAATCTCGGTATTGTTTTAATTTATGTTTCTCTAATGGCCAGTTCTGATGCTGAACATTTCTTCGTGTATGTAGTGTCCATTCATTTCATCTGCCCATGTTTTGATTGAATCTTTTATTTTGGGGGGAGTCTAATTTTTTTAGTTCTTTATATGTT